AAATACTATTTCTTTTGTTTTTTACAGTGCAAATATTTGTAATCAAATATATAAAGTGAGCACTGTACACTTTGTATTCTATGTTGTAATTGAAATCAATATATTTGAAAATGTGGAAAACATACAAAATATTTAAATAAATGGTTTTCTATTATTGTTTAACAGCGCGATTAATCATTTTAATAGCGTGACAACCCTAATTTAAACTTATCTACAAGGTGTAAGATGTAGAAATCAGGAACCTCTGTGTACGTATTTGAAAATAATTATAGGCTTTGCACCAGAATTCACTCAGCATAGTTAGTACATCTTTGATGGAAAGATAATGGAGCTTTGGGGACACATTTCAAAACTTAAATCTGACTATGAGGTGTTAAATTTACTGGCCCAAAAAACCCAGATTCAGTGTAAAACTATACTGTAAGATAATGATAATGTTAATTAAAAGAAACATAAGTAAGAAAATTCAAAGTTTGGCTCCCTCAGCAACTGTACCTTAGTTCTTTTGTGGGTTTGTATGACGGCCATCATTAAATTAACACCTGTAGTATCTGGCACTGTATAACAAAAGCTTCCCAGTCCTTAGAATAGTATACAGGTGTGAAATCTCACATATCTCTGTGTTAACTTGCTAATGTTTATATGGTGACCACTAGCATATTGCATATTAATATATTTAAGTATATTCATATATAAAAAGACAAACATTGACTGTGGACCATCTACAATAAGCAATTTTCTCTTTCAAAATAGACCTGGATCATTGACTTTCATTATACTTTAGGTTTTTTTTTTTTAAATATGTGCTCTAGTTCAAACAGGTATTAATTCAGAGAAGTTGTATGGCTTGCATTGTGCCGGAGGTCAGATTGAATGATTGCATTGGTCCCTTCTGGCGTTATAATCCTTGAATCTATTAATTTATTCTTGTGATGACTTAAAACAAGTTTGGCCTATTTAATCTCTAGGTTGAGCACTTTTTAACATGGGGAGTATTGGCTTTTGTATGTGTATTTGGGAGCCTATATTCTGTTCCTTATGTTCTATGAATTGTGTGCGGTTAGCACGTATCAAGGATATAAGCAGCTATGTGTAGTCGTGACTTGCACCAATCAGGGACTGGGACTTTAACTCTGAGGTTTCAAATTAAACCTGTTCTTTGCCAGTTATTTTAAGGCATTCCAACTGTTGGCCACATGCCACGAAGGCTGTGGTTGCTTCCAATGACCATTTCTTTAGCCTGTAAAATTTAGCAAATTGAAAGAATTAATAAATATGAGACTTAACCATGGTTGTTAACACAGCTCCTTCTCCTGCCCCTTCCCCCCCCCCTTTTTTTTTGAACAGTTCATCACAAATAATATTTCTGACCCCCCCCCCCCGCCAATAAAGGAAAATTCTGCAAATCCATCATTCTGAAACGCTCTCTGGTTTTCAGCTGTTTTGGCAGCACAAGTATCAGCAGTCCAATTATTAAAATGTTTCTGAAATACAAATCAAAACTTGCCAAATCTTATGGAGTTATTCAAAATATCTTAAAGATAAACTTATCAGTTTGTAATTTTTAGGAACTTGTTTGTTTATGCATTGCAATATTCATCTGCATTAGCTACTCCCATAAGTGGTTTGTGTATAAGACCAGTACGGCATTCTGTTTGTATGATGTACTATAGCTACAAGGTAGTCTGTAACAGAAGTCTCTTTTTGGAGAATATTGATTGTTTTTACTGAGGGTTTTTTTAAAAAAGGAAGTGAGATGAACTGTGGGGAGGAATTTGAAGAACTTTGGAATGGAAGATCATAGAAAACTAAAACTCCAGTCTGTTTGCAAATCAATTTTATCATTTGTTTAGGTAGTTCATTGCAAACATTTGTGAAAATAGTATCAACCTCGGTGCACAGTGCTAGAAGCCTACATGCACTTTCTCACTTCCAGCCATTTAATGAATAGTTTTGGTATTTAAATTGCTGAAATATCTTGACATTTCAGTTAATATGGTTTTCTTGGTTAATATATAACCTGGGAGTTAAGTTATTTAAAATCAACATGTTATTTTTATTGCATTTCCATGCCTGCAGCTATGGCACTTCGTGGTATGTCTTGAGATCACACAAGCTAGGAAAGCTTAGACTGGGTCAGTGTTTAGACTGGAAATCTCCATGGAAAACCTACTTGATGTGGGGAACTGTTCTTGGTCATTCAATAGGTGACATTCTTCCCTCTGAGACAGTACTGAACCAATTCCCTAATCATAGTTTTAGGATGTACTGTGCTAATGGAGTTTTTCCATCATTCCAGTTAAATTAAAAAATGTCTCAACTGGCTGGTTAAATTGACTGTAATGAAGGAATTTGATATTTGACTTGTAGAATAAAAATTTTAAAATGTATGGTGTTGCTACTACAGCCATATTTTAATTACATTCAGTTTTAGGGCTAAGTGTTGTCTCTCCGATCCCTCTGTGATTTTAAAGCAATGAGTTTTGAAGGCAAACATGGTAGACTGTTTCCTTTCCACTTTAACTTACTTTTCTTAAAGCCATAAAAAGCGAACACAAGGAGCAGTAGAAGAGAGAGAGATAAAAACATATTAATTCCTAAAAGTACTGGCTAACTACTGCACTGTCTACCAGAAACTTAGGTGGGTTGAAAACAGAACATGAACTCATTCCACTAAAACAGAAGAGAAAACTGTGTGTATGATAGGAAAAAATCCTAAAATTTTCCACTATGACCAGTTATCTGAACCTATTTCTTAAGAAGCCTTACCAACAGCCTCTTGCAGGTGACTCATATTGGTATGAAGATGTCTGTCTACTCAGATACTTATATAACCCTCAGCACTGAACTGTCTTAGCACCCAAAATGTAAATAGGACTGCGCTCGCTCGCTCTTTCTCTGTCTCCCTTCCATGTTCTTTTGGAGACTTTAAATACGTGAGAAGTTCCAGTGCCCAACTCTGTATCCTTCTAAGAAGAAGAGGCTTAGCTCAAGACTTCAACCTTCATTGAGCTGGTCAAATGATGGGCTTTCTCCTGATCTATGGAAGGAGTATAGACACTTGCCAATAGCAGTCAGCTGAACTAGAACCTCCTTGAAGTGTTTGGATCCAAGTGTGCAGGTGCTTTTTCTGATTAGAGATGCTGATGACAATAGACTAATCAGTGTTTACTGTTGATACCACAGCTGTCCCCAGTAAAGTGATCTTTCTAAGCCTTTTAACACTTCACTCCTTCACATGTCCCCATGAGAGAAATCAGTTTCCCTTTCCCCTTCCTCAAATGTCCATTAATGAAGATGACCGGTTTGGAAAGTGCACCCCAGTAGGAAAATATAAATAGTTCTTTCCACCTCCACCCCCTGCCCATCCCCACACACATTCAATAGGTACAGATGCATAATATATCCTGTACCATTAATATGGACAAACTAAGGGCATGTGTACATGGTGGAGTACTGTGCACTCTGGGGATGTGCTTTTTGTTGCGCATTAATTGATACTGTTTCAAACAGCACTACATTAAAGAGCACTAGAAAACTTTTAGTGCCCACCAGCAAGGTCTAAATGGACCAAGTAATGCGCAACATGTTAGTGGACTTAGAAATCACACCCTCATAGTGTGCATTACCTCACTGTGTAGACAAGCTATAAGAGAAAATAATTGAACAGGAATTCAAAAATCAATAGAACCCTGTTTAAAAACCTCTAGATTAATAACTTCACAAGAAAATCTGCACAACTCATACTTAAGAGGAGGCAGATTTCTGCCAAGGAACTGGATCTGACCTGAGGAACAGAAAAATGGGATTGTGACAGTGTTATGCTGTGATGTTATTAAAAAGTTTTCTGTCAAAAGCACCGACTCCCAATGAAAATCTCTCCCTAAAAGCTGTGATGAATTAGTATTGGAGCTTGTAAATAATATATGATCACAGAATATTTTTCTGTTTTGTAAACCAGTTTCTTGTCCTCCTGATACTGAGATAATTAAATGTTTAAAAAGTACAGGGATTCATATTGGAGAAGAGAGGGGACTAGAGATACATCATCTGTGTAAAATTAGCAAGATTACTTGTTTGGCCATACTTGGCCAAAAAACACATTTGGAACAGCTGACCAAAATTAGGAACATAGCAGCATTCAGTAGAATTGTAAAATGTGAAAGGAATTTCTGTAGTTTTCTTTAATAAATCAAATACTGTTACAACTTCCAGAAATGCAAACGGGCTTTTTATGGTTACAGAGGAGCTCGACGCTGTGGAGCGAGACATACTGAAGGGACAGTTGACAATTGGAGGCTCATTTATTCTTGCGTTGCTGCTGTGTCATTCTTGCACGTGATATCGGTTAATTTTTACCCAGTTGGATAAGGATTGCATGTGCCTGGTTATGAATAAAACAAAAACAGCCTTCCATTTTAGTTTAACACATTATTAGGTTTAGATTTGTAGTTAGTTAAAGGAGGAAAATGTAGTGCTATAAGTGGCATTATTTTCTGTGTTTGGGGTTAGGATATTTGGGGGGAGGTAGGACAAAAGGTGCAAAGGAGAGAATATAATCTTAGGTCACAAACCCATAGCTATTTACTAATGTGTATTATCTGGGTCTGGTTTCTTCTTAATCAGTTTCAGTGTAGCTGAAAAATGGGTAATAACATATTACATGAAAATAAACAAATATACTCATCAGAAATTGGTTACTATTTTCTTTCCTAGTAGTCTAGAATGTAATACACAAACAAATTGTGTATTTTTTGTAGGTGGAAGGGGAAAATAAGCATCTATTCTTATCCTTAAAAATTGATAGTTGTTGCACAACTGGGTGGGAGTAGGGATGTTGCATGTTTCTTGATATGTTTATTTTCACTTCTCTTTCTTTTACTGGTTCACATCACTGCTCATTCCCGCTCTTCCTGCATGATAATAAATGGTGCCTTTTCCTCTTCTTCCTTTTTCTTTCATTTTCCCACTTCTCCTCCCCCATTCCTTCATTTTCACAGCATAATGTTTCTGTGGGACATCCCATCAAGCAGTCCAAGCGTCACATTGACTTCACAGAAGAGGAGGCTGAGCTGACTCCTGTAAGTTATAACGTGTCTGTCTGTCTCTCTCCTTTTTGTGCACCTGTGGGTATACCAGTGCCCCTTGTAATTAGAAACTGCATCAGTGATTTGAGCCTTATACATTAACACCTCAGCAATGGAGACAGTAGTGAAGCCTATATCATAACCTGTAACTTTTTGCAGACTTTCTTACAGTTGATCCTTACCTATCCTCTAGCAATTAATTCCCAAATGTACTAGTTCGAGTAAGCTATTTACACTCTAGTTAAAACCGTGTATTAAGCCTGATTGCTGCTAGCAAAGCTTTAGCCATTCCAAGGGAAGGATGCAATATGAGATTTCTCCACTAGTTGCGTTCTAGGATTTATAATAATGATACCTCGCTCTTATACAGTGCTTTCCATCCGTAGAGCTCAAAGAGCTTTACAAAGGAGGTCAGTGGCATTATTCTGGTTTTACAGATGGGGATGCTAAGGCATATCAAGGTCACCCAGCAGGCTAGTGGCAGAACCAGGACTAAAGTCTTCTCAGTATTTATTTATAACAATAGAATAAAAGTATAAAAACTCAGTTTGGTAGGCAAGTCTGTCTACAGAATTTAATGTATTTAAACTTATTTACATTTTTTTAGTCTCTTTCAAATTAGACATTTTTTCTTCTGAAGAATAGGAAATACAATTTGAAATTATGGTACAGTGACCTTTACCTGGATTTTTTAAGAGTGCCAAAATGTGGGTTTTTCTTATGTCACTGTTTCTGGTCCCATCCCCTTTCTAAATTTGTCTCTGAGAATAGATATGATTTAAAAATGGAATTGTAAAACATCTTTCTAGTTCTTGCAACGAATCTGTAAAGCATAAATTGCACAACAATGCCCTCAGCTGGCTAAATTAGGCAAACCATTTAGTATTCATAATATATTTTAATAGGGCTTGATAAGCCAAGAGAATCTTGTGAAAATAGAATATTATTTAGATTCGATACGTAGGTTTTCTGCTTCACTCATAAAAATAAAGTTTAAAAAAAACCCAAAATCCAAAACCTGATCAGTCATGTTAGTCTTCGGAAAAACTTCTGGTGAAAAACCATTTATTCATAACCCAGTGTTTTCCATGGGTGTTTTTCAGGATTCTTCCTTTTGGTAAAGTCATTGTAGAAGATAAGTTAGACAAGAGCACAGCAAATGTAGATATCCTAGTAATAGATGAATTTCTATATAAACGGAATTAATCAGTCAACTGGATAATGGCATACGATACTCTAGCTTTAGTAAAATTATCCACATGTATAGAACAATTACTCTGTGAATGAAAATATACAGAAAAACGTATGGGTTTTCTCCTCGCCACACTAGGTAGGAACTTTTCTGTGTTAGTCATTTGGTTTTTTTTGTTGTTCTTGATGGTCATTCTTTCTTACATCTGTATATTGACTTAGTTCTTATTTTTTAAACATCTGATTAATGGCTTTACTGTTACTATTTATTCTTGCAAAATTTGTGGTTAGGTTTTTTTTGTCTACAACATTTGTGATCTTTGTCATTGGTAAATATCTTTTGCTCTGATGTGCTGTTGTTTTCCATCTGTTTAAGCAACGGACCAAGTGCAAACTTTGCAGTAAGATTACAGAATGGCTGGGCAGAGTGTAGCTCTAAACATCTTTTATGATTTTTTTATAGTGTATTTGAAAAAATTGCTTTGTAAATTTCAATAGCCTTATGTTGTCATTGCAGTATATTTCTGTAGATTTGAATGCAGTAGCACTGACTGTATTTTAAAGGAAAAAGTTTAGTGGGGACCTCATCCATTTACAATGTAGATGACTTCATAAGAAATGTAGCAAGATGTTCTGCTGTTCCTGAGATCCACACATTTTCCATGTACTGGGCTGAATCATTCTATAAAGAGAGCCTTAAGAGGATGTTGTCTATCTAAAGCCTGTTTGAAGTTTCATATAGATTAAATCTACTTTGTAACAGAAAGCTAAGAATAGCAAGTTAGAGTAAGTTCTTAAGAAATTTCAGAAGATTTGGGGGGGAAGAATTGTGAAATTTGCATCAAACTGTTAATTACGTATTGTCTATAGGACAGTGTAAAGAACATGTAAACTTATCTGTTTACAGTAGTACAGTATTTTAATATTTGGATAATGTAAACTCTATAAATCTTTCAAATAATACATAATTACATATATCAGATGTACTTAAGGATCATAATTTAACATAAGTTTTCATAGGTATATTCCACCTATTTCTGAATGGAGAGATTTGCTCCATATAGTATCCTTCAAGTCTCTAACTTCAAAGGAGCAACCTCCTTAGATAAAGGAACTGATATGAAATAAGCAACTCATTTGCATTGCAGCCCTAGTTAACTTCTGGGTTTTCATGTCTAATAATAGTGTGTATGTAGGCTTGGAAGGATTAGTTTTTTGTCGGTAAATGTCAATTTCCCTGTATACACACAAACCAATGAAAAAGTATTTCCATTGATCATCGAAATCTACTTTTGGGCAAAGTAAGAAAAATGTTGCTTGACAATTCTAGTATTTGATTTAAGGATATTTACTTTTTTGACAGGTGATGTTGACAATTTGTGATTTAACGGTTATAAAGCTATAACTTTTTGAATCTCAGTGCCTACTGACATTAAATAATTGTATGACCTTCCATGCCCCCCATTGTCCAATTTTTCCAGTGCTTTCCTGCAATTCTGAAAATTTAAATAGAGAAAAATTGGGATAAAAAGCTTAAAAGCCATAATTTTGCACAGCTGTGAAAATTTAAATAGATAAAAATAGAAAAAAATGCTTAAAAATATATATCAATATCCGCTGAAATTATTAATTCTGCCAATCTTAAGTGTATGGCATGTTGTGTAGTAACTCTGAGCATCATATACTTGCAAGATGCAGTATTTTATGTGCATATTTTAAAAGCAGTTTTTTTCTAAAGAATTACGTTTGTAAATAAACAGGTTGACATATAGACATATTTTGTCTATATGTATAAATTTGCTACCCATGATGCACGTTTTAGACATTTGACTGAGAAGAAGTAATCCATTCCATCCATTAGTGAGTGAAACACTTCGGTGTTTGTTGGATTTTCATACAGCCTTTTTTTTTTTTTAAACTTAAACTTGAAGTCTGTTCTCCTCTTGAGCCCTACTAACCTCAGGAATTAAAAACTGTACATTGAGCTTATTAAAAGGAAACTGCCATTCTTTGTGAAAGGGGAGGGAAGCTGTTTATTTTTGGATATTTGAAAGATTTTCTGCTGCAGTTCAATACACTTCAACACAGTACTTTCCAGTAATCATCATCCTGCTATGTGCGAGTCCTCTGAGTCCATCTGTTTTATCTTGTCTAACAAAGACTTCCTTACAATTTTGTCTCATGTTTATTTTTGGGAAAGCTAAAACTCTTACTAGAATCTTCAGAAGTCTTAGATGATTCATAAATATCCCTTTGAGACAGATGGGAGTGTCTTTTTTTTATTTGTTTATAAATTGAGATTAATATAAATATTTGCAGTCTCAGATTGGTTCTTTGTTTATAGCAAAGAAAAAATATGAAGCAGACCAACTCCATTCCTTTCTTTCAAATAAGTTAAGACTACCAAATTGTAACTGAGTATTTAGCTACCATGGAAGGAGAAATTGTCAATACCAGTACACAGGCAAAAGATTTGTGGTACAGCTAATAATGTTGCTTGACACATACATTAGTTTTAATTACATTCTTACAAGAAAACACTGAGTAAAATGGTACATATGACCTTTTATCTTATTTAGCTGTTAAGTACATGTAAACAGTAGGGTGGAAGTGTTTTTTATAGAAGTTTATATTCTAAATGCTTGAAAACATGCTTGGTCATTCTGCACTGTAGTTATAAATGTTTGCAGTATTTGTGAATAGGCGCAAATAGAGTTGTAGCATTGAATTCTCTTCCTAGAATAGCAGAAAAATCCAGTGTTTGTGTGGCGGGCTCTTTGAAAATATTATAAAATGCTATACCCAACAGCTGGTTCATGAACCCCTACTGGTATGTAGGCCTGAAGATAATGGATGTGTCCCTTTCTTTCAAGGAAGGAAGGAATGCAGGAAATCTTTTGAAGTCCTAAAAGTAATTTGGAACAAAGTACATATGCCATGTTTTTATGAACATCAAGGCAAGCTGTTTTTTATTGAATGAACTATATGTGAAAAGTATTTTACATTTTAAAAATATATTTATTGAAATTAAAAAGAACTTAATGTCCATTTTATTCAAATTTAGCTCTTGTAAATAAAACCTGTGGTGATTCATGGAATGTGTTGTGTTAACACATTTGCATGCTAAAATCTATCTTTTTTTTTTTTTACTGCTTGTGTTTGAGATTAAAGTTTTAATTTTGGTAGAGTTATTAGCGGAATCCCCTATTTCTGTATTTATTTGATTTTCAGATCTTTGGATTAGATTGGCAGATTTTTATAAGGGATTTTTATGCATGTGATAGCTTGCAATGTTTTTCATTTTTGTAATTTTAAGGGTTGTTGTGAAGGATATGGATTAGGTTTTTATAAATCTTTTATCGGATGAGAATATTTGGTTAGAGAATCTTGGTTTTGATTTGAATCATTTTTGATATAGTGTTCATTTTATGGTATCTAAGTGCAACTTGTAAAGTTACAACTTGCAAAAATTGAAATACTATTATTAACAAAACTTAATGTAGCTTGAATTGTCTGTTCAGATACGTTTTTATATTTTTATTTATTTATATATATATGTGTACAAAATGAATATACATTTATTTATTTATATATATATATAAAAATAAATGTATATTCATTTTGTACATTTTCTGTTTGTAATTTCACTCATCACCATATGGTTCCCTTTGCATCTATCCCTGGCCTTTTACAATAAATTTTAAAGAAGGAAAGTATTTAAAAATTGTTTGACAATTTATTCTTTATTGTGCAAAACATAGTGAGTTCCTTTTGTGTGTGTTGTAAACATGGCCCCTGAAAAA